CCTTACAATCCAAAATCCTTAGTAGCAAATATTTTTTCACAAATAAAACCATTCATAAAGACCTTAATGTTCCATATGCCGCTGATTTAGCCAGTCAGATACCTATTCTTTCATGATAAACTCCAGTCCCATCCGAATCCAGTTTTTTTCAGCCTTGCTGCTTCCTCGATTCCTAATAACCCCCTAGGCATCTGAAAAGAAGATGACCTCGCGATCTTCTCACCTAGAATTGAATAGGGAGTGCTACCAGTATCAGAGGGAGGCAGTATCTCTTCAAGTCTGTTCATGTCATGATTTCTAATGTGTGCATTTTTACTAGTTGTATTGTTTATACAATTGTAAATTTCATTAAATAAATAAATTTAACAACATTTGTTGGTAGCTGTAGGTGTGTGATTTCACAAGAAAAATAAAGTAAGGTCCATCCTATGCCCTTAATTTTGTTCATGAGTGCCTTCATGTGAAAGCAAGGAGATTGACAAATTGAATCTTCGATTTAAATTGTCTTCACTTTTTTCTGATATTATTACTTACTTTATATTAAAAGCTTCATACATGAAAACATGAAATGACAAAAATAAATAAATAAGACGATTGGCACATTGATAGTACAAATAATGATAAAAACACCTTGAATTTCCCTGTTTTAGAGAACGAGTGGTCCTTCGACGACTATACGTCATTCAGAAGTCACGCACGTATTTAGATTTCTTGTTGTGGAAATAAAATAATTAATTAATATTCTTTTCAGGTCGATAACCATATGTTCTCAACCTATTAGTTCACTTTAGCAGATTATTATTATTAATAAATATACTAGTCATTAGTTAGAATTAATGATTTTTTAAATTTCTGTGACCTTGTTTAATTTCTTCTGTATAGGGTGAAACATTATTAAATGGCTGAAAAGCCTAAAATAATGTCCATCCTAAGCCAAGTCCTTTACTTTTGAAATTTGTTTATAAAGTATATTTGCTCGGTATTAATTATTTTTTATTTAAAGCTTCAGGCATGAAAAATAGTACCTTTCGTAGAAGAAGTCACATACATTCAAAAGATGTTAAAATCTATTTTTTTTTTTTTTTTTATGTTGTTTAATGGAATAATGAAAAATTTTTATGAATTAATAAAAACAATTCTATATTTGCATTTACATTACGAAATTCGACTTTCTTTAACATTTGTTTGTATATATATATATATATTTGTTCTATATATTTATATATAAATTGTATTTATTGTCTTACGGATTACCTAGTATGCTGTGTGTCTAGCAACTCAATATAATTGGGGAGCAAGAGTTTATATTTTGTATGAAAATAAAATGTTTCTGTGTATTTTCTTTTATTGATGTATTTTTTGTAAATTCTCACGTAACAGAATAGCCATTTTTCTACTTACCGAATCCGATTATTCAGGCACATAATTATAAGTATTAATTTTAGTACAGGGGGCCTGGAGACACCCTGGGTCACACCTAGCCTCTATAAAGTGGATACTCTTAATTAATAAAATGATTATTATTATATTTAGTTTTTTGCATTTAAAAATAAACACATTAAAAATAACTATTTTTTTATATATTTTTTTTTTAATTTTTATATGGTTTAAAGTGATAATACTCCATAACTAGATTAAAAAATATATTAATTATTATTTTTGCTAGAACAAATTCAAAAAAAGATTAAATATTTTGATATACCTCCCGTGTTGATAAGCACTGATCTTTTTTGTTTATTATTTTTCAATTGATAGAAACCCAAACACTTATATTTCAAGGATCTAAAAAATGAAATATCATTTTTTAAATACCACACAATCCATTTAATAAGATCTTTATTTATCAACATTATAAACATATTTTTATTTAAAAGTCTAAAAGTAACGACAAGTCCTAACACAATGAAAGTCACGAGTCATTGTAATGCAGGTTAGCAATGAACACATCAACGTTTCATAGGTTGATTGCTGACTTTTATTTTAGAGAGTGGACTCATTGTTTTTGGTTTTATCCTAAAATCAATGTACGTCTCTTCTGGAATTATTTATTTAATGTTAACAGAACGTTTCCCCGAATTCTGTTATATATTCTTTTTCCATCCTCGTAAAAATAGCAATTACATTATAAAAAGTTTGGGTTATATGTATTTCATCATTTATTTATTTTTTATTTGTTACACTTGCAACATTTCGGCTATACAGCCATTTTCAAGGTTTCGTGTTCAAGTGTTAGGTGTTGCATTAATAATTGAATTATTATCTGTGTGGGAATATGAATTCAATTCTGGACACAACATCTAACATGTTGGACACAATATAACGAGTATCATTATTATCATCATATCATCTTTACAGATGGCATGAAAATGGCGGTATAGCCGAAACGTTGCTAGTCTCGAAAATAAAAAATAAGCAAGAAAATGGACATATTGATAGATCAAATTATGATAAAGACACCTTGAATATCATAGTTTGGGAGAACGAGTTGTCCTTCAAAAAAAAGCTTTGTAGACATTTCACGAACGTTTAATTTGAATCGAATTGAAGTCACGCACGTTTTTAGATTTATTGTTACGGAGATAAAACAATTAAATAATGTTCTATTTAGGTCAATAACTATATTCATCTACCTTACAGTTCATCACAATATATTATTATTATTAATAAACTAGTCATCAGTTTGAATTATTGTAACCTAATTTAACTTCTTGTTGTATAACCTAATTAGGTTTGTGATCTAATTTAATTTCTTCTGTATAGAGTGAAAAACCTTAAATGGTTGAGAAACATTAAATTTATATGTGGATAAATTTAAATAATATTTTTTTCATAATTCTATTTGATTCGTTTATGAAGGAAACATGATTACTGTAAATATATGTGTTTTCTCTCTTGATATATATATATTTGCTATTTATTGTTAAAAATTATTAATATATATATATATATATATTATTTCAATTATCTAATTATTTAAATTATAAAAATTATGGCAGTTAATTAACTAAACCGAAAATTATGGAGAAAATTATAAATACGTTGATGGTTTACAATCAACAGTAACATAAACTGTAACTGTTTACAATAAAACAGTCTTTCTAGATAAGTTATCTATGAAAAATCACACGGCTAGTGATTATGAGCGCAACAGAACTGAACGTTGTAGCTCTGGCTACAAAATCCATTTTTTTTTATTTTTCATTCTTGAATACTAAAAAAAAGTTAATCTCGTAGCAGAAATCCATCGTTGTTTAGCGGTAACTTGAGACTGGATTTCTATCACACGTTATCAACATTTTATTCGCTACACGTTTTGGTTTTTTTTTGGCTAAGCTTCAGGTTTTTGTTACATCTGTGTGAATATGCTGTACCATCTGTGAGTTTTATGTTCAGTTCCCTATGTATGGTGTTCCTACCAGCTAAATACTGTAATAGTAGTATTATTTAATTAATCGCTGATGACCTAGATGTTTTGAGCATAAGACATCAAAGGATGAACAAACCTATTTTTACTCAAGGGGGTGGTAAGTGAAAGATGTGTGATGCGTGCACCACACCAGATTTTTTAATATAATTTTCGTTATTCAAAATAACATTTTCATGTAATAGCGGATCCAAGATTTATTTTTTTTTTGTTTTTCAATAACGGTAATTACTTTGGGAACAACTACTTACGTTTAAATGGTCCTTGAGACAAAAAAAAACAACTAATTACAGGAAAATGATGATTTTAGAGACAAATATGTTATATTTTTGGCTGTATGTGGATTATTACTTTAAAAGAGAATATATTGTGATTGTATATATTGTGATTGTATATTGTGAAGTATTTTAATTATTGAGACTAAAAGGCCTTTTTTCTACTGATACTTACTAAAGTATCTTTTCCAATATCATCTTTTAAAATTACCTGGAAAATTAATATACAATTTCATTCATTTGACTGTATAAATAACAGTAATTCTTTATTTTATTCATTGTATTGTATACACTTTCAATTTAATGTTGTCCCACGGTTCAACACATATATTGTGTTGTATTTTTGAAATGATATTTATTTATTCATCAGTTTCAAAACAAATAAGTATGAGAATATTTCTAAACAAAAAAGTCTTATTCTCGCTTGGCCTAATTACTCAAGGCGCAATGAATTTCAATAAAAGCTAAGAAGTTTTGACTAGAATTAGTTGGTATAATAAAAGGCCTCTGGCCACAGGTGCAAAGAACGCATACAGCGTGCATAGCCCTCTTACCTTAAAATGCCCTTGGGCAATAAAAGGAAATTGTAAATTTATGTATATATTGTATTTTGTAATCAAGAAATTCCTGGGGGATAGGAAAAAAAAAAAAAAAAAAAGTTTTGACTTTACTGAAAACGAACACTTTAAAAATTTAAATTGATTTATATAAACACAAAAAATTATAACTAAAAAGGTTATTTGAATTTTCATTCGAATTTTCAAGTAGAAACGTAAAATTTTCTTTTTCGAAGTTGAAGGAAGAAGGTGTGAAAGTGAACATACGTAGTTGAAGGTGATATCCACCGAAAAAATGGATCCCAACCCAACTACAAATGTTGTGGTAAGGGACGAAAGGATGGACTTAATCGACGCTACTTGTGGTGATGCTTGGGCATTGGTAACGGGTAAAAAAAGAAATTTTTCTAATGAATCTAGAGATCCGAGAAAATACAAAAAAACCGAAACAGAAAATGCAACAACTCCAATATCTGTAAGTAATTCTTATGATGTACTTAATACCATTACCGATTTCGGTTTTTTACTGCGTGAAGAAATGGTCTTTAGCGATATCATTCGATACAGTCTAGTTGTGATGATCTCTTAATAATAGACATTTTAGCATAAACCCCATTTCAACTCTACAAGCTCGAACTTATGAACCCAAAATAACGCTGCGAGTCGTTTGGCTGGGTATGATTTTATGGCTAATGTTGGTTGGGCGTAACGTTAGGTTTAATATGCTAAGGGTATAATAGCTACCTGAAGGACGATCGCCAGCAGGAGGAAGGAACGAGGAGCTCGGACGAACGCCATGTTAACTACTACCTTATCTAACTCCACTCTTCCTCGTTATATAGCAAGAGGAACATCATCATTCTCCACTTTAGCAGGATTACCAGCCAGGTCTTGTCTTATCGAATTTAAATCGTCATTATTTAAAAGATTTGTTCTACCAATAAAAATGCACGTTTATCTACAGTCATAGTAGATGGGAAAAATTTCTGGTACGATGCCCGCATCACACAACTTTCACTCTACTTGGAGTATAAATAGGTATTTTCATATAAAAGGAAAACAAATAAAAGTTATAGAAGGTACTATATATTTATTAATTATCAGTAATTTTTCTTATCTTGGTGCCTTATTGTCAGTGTCCATTTCCTTTTACGACTGTGTATATTTTAATTATTTATTTAATTTCTAAGAGATATAATATCTAAGAAGCCGTTCCGGCATCTCAAGGCTACTTTAGAACTTTACTTTAGTATTTTAAGAGAAAATTTTATATGATATTAAAAGTCGGAGATATCAATGGTATGCACAGGAGGATCTATGGGAGGGGAAGGGGAGGGCTTTCGGGCTGAAGCCCTCCTCCCCTCCCTCCCCCCAAAATGGTAAAATATAACTACGTTACAGAAAAAATATTAAAAACTGTCTCTTAAAGTATTATTGTTCTTGTTATTACATTTAATAACACTTCAAGAATCATTCAAGAACTATCATTGAGACACCATGTCGTATGGATAGTTAGTATGTTTGTTTCTTTTTTTTTTCAAATTAATTATCGTTATGTATATGAAAAAAAAAATCCTTCGAGCTGAAGCCCACCCAAAATTAAATCCTGGGTCCGCTAGTGATGGTATATAATTATGCATGGACTTAATGAAGGTATTTTCATATAAAAAGAAAAAAACTAAAAGTTATAGAAGGTACTATATACTTATTAATTATCAGGAATTTTTCGTATCTTGGTGCCTTTTTGTCAGTGTCCATTTCCTTTTACGACTGTGTATATTTTAATTATTTATTTAATTTCTAAGAGATATAATATCTAAGAAGATAATATTAATACGATAGTCGATAATATTGAAATATCGATATGTTCCTACTATCGATTTATCGGCATCTACTTCGATATTATCGAATATCGATATCGTCCCAACAATATTTTAATATTTTTACTTAAAAAAAAAAATTTAAAAAAAAAATGCTCATATCATTTTTTCCATTTTGCTGGGGAAGGCTTCAGCTCGAAAGCACTCCGTAGCCTCGTCACTACTGCTCATAGCTAAGCCATTGTAAAACGTTTCTATCATAGACATGAACCGGATACCTCAGAAAGATCTCCTACTCAAGTTAGAAGTCACATTGAATCTTCTATCGAATCTCCTACGTAGGTTACACTAGTCCTTTATGTTGCATCCCTGTTCCCTACATATTTATGACTGTAGGGTAAATCTCAGCAAGGGCAACGTTCAGAAGAATGACTTGGGCTTTGTATATAAAATGAAACTGCAATTTATTGGAATCTTTAGATACGGCAGAGTCTCTATAATCTAAGAAACTCAGATTATCGGTATGAAGAATAAAAATGGCGGTGTGCTTATTTCTCCTACCTGAAAAAGGAAATAATAACTTATTAGAGTTGACGAAGAATTAACCAAGATACGGCGCATCAACTAGAAAATCCTTTTGAGGAATTATATACTATAAAATAATTTGTCATATTTAATTTTTTTTTTCTTCTTTTGTCGCAATTGTTTTCTCATAAAATTAATTTAATGCCCCTTCCTAATTTTTTGTATCAATTTATTCTTATTTTATATCTCTTATGCTAGGATAATGTAATATTGTAATCCCGTTTCTCATCCTGAGTCATTAATATATCTTTACTACGTATATATTTTGTATGCTTAAATGAATTAAAATGCTATTTATGTTTTAACATAAAAACTCAATACTTTTTATTTAAGTACTTTTGGTATTTTTTCTTTTCTAGAGGTTTTGGTTTTTCTTTCTATACATCTTTTTTCTTTTCTTTTTTTTTTTAAATACAATTATAAGTATAGTTGAGAAGATTTTATTCTATTTTTTAGGCATTTGCATACTATTGTTTAAGTTTTTGTATGTATTCTTCAATTCTTTATTAAGTTAGTTTTTGTCCTGATATGTATTTTTTCTCTTGTAACTGGTCATCATTGTTATTCTAAAGGGACATCGTCCCAGAATAAAGTTTATTTTCTGTTCTATTCTATTTCTGTCTAATACGATTTTATAAGAATTCTACGATATTTATATCATCTTATTAGATCCAATACGATAATGTTCGCATGTGTTTATTAAAGTTTGACAGCGATTGGTAGGCAGCTCGGGAGCGAACACAAATTTTAAACTTACTTTTTGATTTCTCCCAAACTCTCCGATAGTACTTAAAAATGTTTACAAATGTACACATAAATAAGAAGATTGCGATATCATCTTACAGTATGCACAAATATTTTGTAATTAATAACGGTTGCCCTAGGCCGTCAAACTCTAACTTTAGTAAGTATTAATTACAAATGCTACATGAATAAATTAGTAGATGATCGTTTTTCAAACACTTATGGTCGTATAATGTGATCTTAGCATTGTGTATAATGTTATGTTATTGTTATGAAAATAATATGTAAAGTTAGTCCTTATATTTCACCACAGTTGATAATTAAGTTATTTAACAAACACCTTTATCTGGTTAATGTTTCAGTAATACTAAAATGAAAACAACTACTCCTGGTTGCGCTAGTTTGCATAAGATGGGAGTTTCAAGTGTGTTGAGTTCTGACAGAAAAAATGGCATTGGAAGGTCTATATGAAGTGGTTCCTTAAATAACGGGAAGTGATTTCGGCATTGTCTATGAAGTAGTTTTCGATTAAGGTTTTGCTTTTAATAGGTATTGCTTCAGCTGAGTAAATTAGTAAATATTTTTAATGAATTACTTTTTCTGACATAACATTTGTTATCTCAGACGTTTTAACTGCTTGAATTATGCCTTCGACAAAACTACCAATATATCTGTAATAATATATATTTGCCTTCAAAAGAAGTGAATTTAAAACTACCTGCTACCTTAAATATGATAATATAAGAATTAAAAGTGAATATAGAAGAGAAAAACATATGAGATTCAAAATTAGCTTCTTTATATTGTTTCCCAAACAAGATTATTCCCTTATAACTCGTGCATTGCTCTTTGTCGCCTCTCTTGAATATTGGGTATATTAAGACGGCCCTACAATCATCAGCCATCAGCTGACTATACTATACATGATAAGATCATACACACGATTAATTATTCGGACTGAACTATTTTTAATTAGTTTGGCAACTATTCTGTCCTCACCGGGGACTTGAATGTTCTTCAAAGAAGAAATAACGTCGTCCATTTCATATTTTGAAGACATTTCGACTGATGGTGTGCTGCCCGGTTGTGATTCTCCATTTTCAATACCCATGTCGTATTATTTATTTTTTTTCATGTTCATGTTCATGATATATATGAGAAAATGTTCCATCAATCTCCCAGTCTTTGCTGATTCTCCCTTCTTCAGATCCCTCTTTGTCCAAGAAATTTAGGTTGATAACCTTCGCTAAACCAATTGGATGATTTGTAAAACTTTCTGCTTTCATTCTCTAGGTTCAAGGTTTCGGTCTTCTCAATTTTATTCTTCATCATTTTCTTCTTTTCGTTTTTACATATTATATTAGCATCCCTTCTTAACGAGAACAGCCCTTTTCCTAACCCTTTTTTCTTTTCAATTGTTGTTCTACATTCCTCATTAACTATTCCTCACTTCTCTAGAATTTCTTTTCACCTATCGTTTCTGTTACTGCTTCGGATATTGTATCTTTTAACTGTGACTTTTTTAAATTAATCTACGTTTAGTGACATTTCTTTCCCATTCTGTTGATTCCAATGTGGTTGTTATTAGTATATTTGAAATACAAATACTAAACTGAGTCATTTGGTAAAAATGTCTTCCTGCGAAGCTCAGTACTTGGTCCACAAAGCTTTCACATACCATCCTCTAAGCAAAACTTAATTTAAATATTTATTTATTATATAGGTAATTAATAATATTTAAATCTATAATCCGGTCTATATTGTTAAACCAAATTTATTGAAGAATATATGTATGATTTTTACTTTCACTTATTATATATATAATATAATGCAATAGTGAAAATGTTCGAATCTGTTTTCAACGGAAATACACGGAATACAATGGAAATTTGAGGTCATCTGAGTCCAAATAACAATGTCCCGCTAAAACACTGATACACCGTCGTTATACATCCACTATAATGTTTTAAAACGTTCTCGGGACAAGAATAGCATTCCGATGTTTCCTGTTGTTAGAGAAAGCATGGCCGTTCAACACTGTGCTCCTTCATGTCCAAATATTTGACCCCCGCTCTCTGATCCTTCGACCAGTTGCCCAAGCACGATACAGCCATTTGCCCAAACAGTTCTTGCCTGGGTCGAACTCACTAAATCCTCTTTTGTCGGCTTTCAGTGCCTTTTCGTTGGGTCTGAGTCAGCGTATAATTTAGCAGAGTATACAACACATCCGTCGCCTCATATGATAACCTCATAACTGAATTTTAATCGAAGCTAAAATTCATTGCTAAATATGTTTAAAACCAATTTCCCCTAGTGTCTAAACTAAAAAAAATATGTATATTATTCACACTTAATAAAATAAATGCATTTCTTTAATACAGTTGTAAATATCATTAAGAAATAATAAAAAATAAATAAATAAATACACTTACTCATTACATTTAAATTTTTTAGCCATCGGATATAACACCACCAAAAGTTATTTCAGCATCGTGCTACAAGAATGAAATTTCTAGTCTAAAACAATTAGTCTTTGGGTTCTATTATATCTCAAGATGTGTAATAGCTGTATATATATATATACATATATATATATATATACATATATATATATATATATATATATATATATATATATATATATATATATATTAATGAAAAGAAGATTGATATGACATGGGTATTGAAAATGGAGAATCACAA